ATTGTATCTTTATATTTGTTAGAAGCCGCCTAGAGTAGCTGGGACAACCCAGTCAGATGGGCAGTGTACTACTACTACTACTACTAATAATAATAATAATATTGCCAAAAATAAAACAAACAAACAAAAAACACCTAACTTGCATCAATTGCCCAAGCACTTTGTAGCAGGTTTGCAGGCAGCGATAGTACATATACGGTAGCCCACCTCTTGGTATTACAAACCTAAGAAACAACTTGGCACCTTCAAAAGCCCATAGTATATGAAAAATAATTATACTTACTTCTAATGCATAATACACAGGTTTGTCTCTGCCCATTTTGTACGCCACTGTAGTCAGAAGGCCATGTTCAGAAATTGCAGGCTGGAAACAAAAAGAAAAAATATGTAATTACTTGATCTAGAAAATATTAATTATTTCTATCATATTAGTTTACCCTTGGCTGTTATCTTAAACACTGCCCAACTGCCCTAGCATTCTAGCACAAGACATTTCCTCTTTGGGACCTTCATGTTAAACAAGGTATGCTTGTGAATATTTTAAGCTCCCAAGGTACCACTGTATTTTATTTGTAGGACACAACAAAAAGATTTTTTAAGGGAGTTTTACACAACAAGAGCTATTTCTTTGGGGAAAGTAGTAATTTGCCAAGGTTTCAAGTCGTTTAATTCCCAGCACTAACCTTTTGACCTGTATTGCAGAGTAAGAAGCAGCCTGTTCCATACCTGAAGTGCAGACACCAAAAGTTATTATTTGCTACAAAATGAAGCATAAGAAATCAGATGTATGCCATGCCATAAAATGACTAGGAATATCAAAACAGTAGTAACATAACTGGAATGTTGGTATAGTAGGACAACTCCTCTGCATAGAAATCGCTATAATCGGGTAACTAGTCTAGCAAAGACTGGCTGAATTGTGGCAAACCAGCTGACACTAGATTGGGGAAGCATTGGAGTCTTCCTTCTATCTCCCAGCCACCACCACTGCCCTTACTTCATTCAGGATTGGTGTATATATGTACCTATGTATATATGTCAAATTGGGAGGCCAAGCTTCCCTAATTCACACTGGAACATACTCAATAATCCTCTTGTATGGAGCATTATGGGGCAAGCTTTAGTCTGCATATTTAGTTTGCTGTGTGTGCTAGCCAGGGAGAAATGTGGCCAGCCTGTTGGGTAGACTAACACATGTGTACTTCCGATTTTAAAGTCCATTCAAAAAGCTACAGGAAATAAGGTTGGGGTTTGGGTATGGGTGGGGATATGGAGTGCTTTTCCAACCAAGGCACTGCAGAACCTCCTATTCCTGACTACGTTTAGCCCAGGACACTTATTTTATTAGAAACCCAGTTCTTCTTCATCTGCTGGACCTGGAATGATCTGAAGTACAGCCAGTGGCGTTGCGTGGGGGGTGCAGGGGGGGCCGGCCGCACTGGGCGCAACATCTGGGGTTAGGGCAAATCCACGGGTTAGGGGGCGCAAATCCACGGGTTAGGGGGCGCAAATTACTTGCCTTGCCCCGGGTGCTGACAACCCACGCTACACCGCTGAGTACAGCTGACAGAAATAGACTGAAGGGGAAGGTGAACAGGCCATGTATCTTACACAAGTGTGCAAGGTATTTCAAATGTATTTTAAATTATGTAGCAAGTTAATAAAAAAACCATCAATCTGATTCATTATTATCAAGATTTGGAAACATGTAGCACTCCAGATGTTGTTAGACTATAACTCCCATCAATCCTGACCAGTCTGTGGGCTGATAGGAGCTGGGATCCAACATTTGGAAAGCCACAATGGAGGAGTTCTTGCAAGAGGTGAGATTCAAAGTAGGATCTTCCTGACTCATAGTTTCATCACATACCCATTGTGTTACAGTGGCTATCCCACAGTGTGCATTCTTAAAAACGGCTGATCCTCTAACACCGCCCCCCTTTGTATCAGTTCTATGGGTGCAATGATGCAGGTGTCAGTTCTCAGGTTAAACTTACGTATTTTTTGCTTGACCATCCTTGAAGCACATTTGTCCCACTAAAGCAGCAGACTGGTCACCTAAGCACTGGAATATAATATAATTCATTAACTTCAGTGAAAGTATACCTGCATATTTAATTTTTAAAGTAGATCTATTTTGTTTACAATTTGGCTCAGCTAAAGTCCCGTTGTCTCGCTAATACTTTTTACAGAAAGAAACACACCAATGGCACTACAGATTGGATAACTTTTATACTGCAAAGCACTCTATAATCCTTGGATGACGAGTCGTATATAAATTTAATATATAAATAACTGACAAACTTTTGTTCTGGATAGTTGAATTTTTTCCCTGAAGGTTATCTTACCACAGGACCTCCTTCATTTTCAAATGAGCATGCTCAAAGCTCACATAACCAGTTTCAATAAACCTTAGGGGAAACTAGATTTCTGTCAACTGGGGAAAAAAAAAATATTGGCCTCTTGCAGATCCAGAATGGTGGATAAGCCTAGTTTTTCTGCACATCTAGAATAATTTGGAAGCACCAATACCAATAAATACAAACAAACAAAAATGCAGAGGAGGAAATGGACAGAATGCCTATTTCCAAAAGAATGAAATCAGATGTTTGCCTTTAAAATTCGGTTTACATTAAGGCCGCAATGCTACACACGCTTACCTGGGAGCAAGTCCTATCAAACTCAGTGTGGCTTACTTCTAAGTTAACATGTATAGGAGTGTGCTGTAAATGCTGCTTTCAATAGCAACCTAGTTTAAAAATGAAACCTGAATGTTATTAAAAAAACATCCTGCCCTTATTTTTTAACTGTATCCATCACTATAAAAATCCTGCCTCTCTCCTAAAAGGAAAAGAAGACTTGAGGACAAGCATTTGATACAATACATTTATTGTGTAAATAATAAATATTTATGATCCTCAAAGAAAACTTTGTTTTCATGGAAAAATACTGTTTTGCCAAGTAATCACTATCCTTACTTGTGGAAAATTCTGGGCAATTAGCCTTTTACAGAAAAGCTAAAAGCTACAATTCCCTTCTGTGATTTTGTCAGATGCCTTTTGAATTAGTAGAGGGACAAGCAAATCCATTTATTTTACAATTGCACCCCTTGTGTCTTAGCAGACATAACTGTGTAGTGCAAGAAATACGGGAACTTTATGACCAGACCTCTGTGCTCTTAGGTAGTCTAAATACTTGTTTTTGCTTGTTTTAACTATTTTTGCAACCAATTAAAATTTGTTGCTCTGGAAACTTGTGAATTATAGTATAGGAAACTTAAATCAGTCTTTTTTCTTGGTAATTTGGGCAATCTACACCAGGCAGCATAGCTCCTATGCAGATACGTTTCAGGCAGGATGGGAGGCAAGTACTTGCTCCCCTTCCTTCCTTCCTTCATCACAGAGACTGGAGAGAGGTGAAAGGTTCAGTTTCTACATTGTATTCTGCTATCCTTTGTGTCCCATGATATTGGAACACCATTTAAAACCCCTAAAATGAAAGTTATTGGCACTTAGGTCTGGCTGGAAGCATCTATTTAATTCCACAGTAACTGGTTGTAGTTACACCATCTGCTCCAGGCTTGAGGCTGGGCACAGTAGATGCTAGTTATGTTTTCAATTGTCTACTTACTGCATAATCCTATATGAGTCTACTGAGAAACAAGTCCCACTGAGCTCAATGGGCTCCAAGGTAAGTGTATATGGGATCGCAGCTTAAACTTATTTTTACTAGCATATACAACTGATACTTTAGACATGTAGTTTCTACTGACTGCGCCCCCTCCATTTTTAAAAAGTACAACAAGGTCTATCAAACATTCCACTGTATTCAGAAATTGTACCAATAAATTACAACATGGTTAGGGAACTCACCCCAGAAATTGGTACGCCAGTCAAAGCTCCAGAGCTCTATAGCAAAACAAATACATTTTTAAAAGTTTATTCAACATCACTAATTTTCATCTAGTAGGTTTTCCATTATTTAAAGAACAAGCGAAGCAATGTACAGCTAGAAAACATCAAAGCCGTAGTCAAGCAAGTCTATCAATGCTGCTAAAAACAAAGATCCTGAAGTATACTGAATGCTGTTGAGCTGTATGCATATATTCACACACACAGTCTTTCAAAAGTAAAATTAATCACCTACAGGCCATGAAAAACAGAAAGGCGACATAACATCTCTGTCAATTAATGGGGGTGGGGGTGGGGCAGAATAGAAAAAGAAAATCCTTTGCCATTTAATCTGCCTAGCAGAGTCCCTCTTGTACTAGAGCACCACAGAAACCCGCCTTTATTATATATAGCTGGAATAATAATTTACTACTCAGTTATATATAATTTCCCACACAAGGCAAAGGGACAATTTTAATTTGTATTCAGTTTCTTCAAACTCCATAGCTTCTGAGAGGGAAAAAAAAACAGGTACCAAAGATAAAGGTTATGGAGAGTCTTTAAAAGCTACAAATCCTGAATATTATAAGAATTACAACATATTGTTCTTCCATAACAGAAACAGAAATAAGTATAACAGGGTACAAGTTAGCAACGGATCCACTGGGTATATGCAAACAGTACAATATTTCCAGATGACGGAAAACTACTATTAATGGCAGAATAGTGGATTTTAGTTACAAATGGAATATCAGACCATCTATATGTATATTTAGATAAAAAACCACAAAAATTCTAACATTGTTCATTATATGATTGAACTTTGCCTGAAACCAGGATGCGATAACTGGTTCCTGTTTTAGCAGGAAAATGTGTTATATGACAGCCACAGCAAGACTTTGCTTCTATATGCCCACTGATATCACTGTGAAATAGGCCACATACACAGCAAGCACATCTAAACTGGAAATGACTTGGGGAGAGAAGAAATAATCTAAGGGGCAGATAGTGAACAACCATAGTGTTACCATTAGGCACACTGAGGTGAATGCCTCAGATCCAGAGGTGGCAAATCCCACTTTAGTGCCTGCCTACTACTTACTCCACCCACTGCCGCCACTGCCAAAGAAGTGAGGAGAAGCTGTGGCGACGTTTCCGGTGAGCTCTCGCTACTGCCTCTCCTCATTTCTCTGGTGATGGGGGTGGGGTGGGAGGCACCTATGGTGGCACTGGCGCCTGCCACGAGAGAAGTGAGGAGAGGCAACTCCTCTTTTCGCCTCAGGTGGCAAAATGGGATAGGCCGCCACGAAACAGTGTACAATAACAACCAATTTATCAGGACTGCAAGGTACATGGGAGGCCTGATCTTGATTCCTACATCCCTGCCCAGCCCTCCATTTTCTGCTCAGTCAAGGAATGCAAGTGTGACAGTCTCTTTTCCATACCTCAGTGCATCGAAGAGCTAATGTTTACTCTACCATTTATACACATATTAAAGCACAGCACAGAGTACGACTTGGTTTTTGATAACACGTGGGGCTACAATAAGATGGTAAACAATATGCTTCAAAATGGGAGGTCAGTGCTGTGGCAGAGTATTAGCGGAAGAACACACAGGAGACCTCATTTTGTAAGATACCATCGAACAGTTTGTGAAGTTTTCTTGAAAAAGAAAGAATACATGTTTGTGTGCTTGCAAACAGCCAGGCATGCCAACACCTAGTACCCACCAAGCCACCCACGTCAAAACCAGCTTTTTTTTTTTTTTGCAGGGTGCATTCTGTGTGTGTGCATGTGTGTGTATGTACACTGAGCAGTAGCACTTCAGTGAAGCCATGCAGAGAGTACAGTCAAGTGCATTTCCATTTGGGGATACCTTATTAAATAGCATTTTGAAGGTGAGATGAGATATATACCATACACTAGTATTCCTCCTCTTCAGTGTTTTTGCCCTCAATTCATACAATCTTTCACAAGGAAAGTTGGGAGTGAGAAATAGTAGTTTCCCATTTTAACTTTTTTTAAGCAGGTGGGGAGTGTAAACACCTCAACAGAACCACTAATAAAAGCTTCAGATTCAGTCGGTCTGATTTGAGGATGCCACCTGACACAATCCCTTTCAAAAAGCTACAGGATTCCCCCTAAAGAAATGCACTGCATCTAAGCAGAATGGATGGAGATGTGAGTAGGGGACATCCTAACAAAATCCTACTCACCAAGGTAAGGGAGATTTTCTATAGTCAGCGAGAAAAGTAGTGGGAAGGGAGGAGGGGAAGAGAGACAAACAAGTTCACAGTTTCAAAGCTTGGTAGTCTAGTAGTCAATTCTCCTCCTATAAATTGCTGTTTGGGGTAAAATGAATATCAGACCTACACACTTTGAAGCAAACATTCAAAAGGTTTAGAACTCAAAGTAATGGACTTCACTCTTCTATTCTCAAATGACTCAAAGTATATAGCCCTAGTTACTTACTTAACAGTAATATTAGATTACTGATATCAGAGGTCAAACCTTTCAAAATTTGAGATCCTGCATTGTTAATAGTTGACAAGTAAGTGAAGGGAGCAGGCAGCTTTTACTGTTTTTGTGATAAGCTGTACTGGCAACCATTTCTTCTCTTCTTCAATTATTAAAAAGGTACAAGACTCATAATATTGAAAGTTTAGCCACCCTAATTTGGATTAAAGTATTTTTGTACAGAAACACTTTCAGTTCAGTTGGAGACTATTTGCCAAGCACTTTGTTTTTAAAAGTCTGCAACCTTCCCCTAAACATCCCACAATGAAATACAGGAATTCACAATGGCTTATGTTGTATTCAAGACACTAACGTTATAGCTCTATTTTTTATTATTGTAAACAATCCAAATGCTTTAAATTAATTTTAAAAGGCCACTACCGATACCAGTACTCTATTCACCAGTAACACTCTTTCTCATACAGAGCAGAGAGGCTATTACTTGAGGGAAATGAAAGTACAATTTGTTTCATTTTAAGCAACAGATCAGCTGTATCAAGTAATTTTTGTGAGTATTTCTATTGCTTTCACAAACACTTTCCATTTAAAGGTAGTTCAGAAACTGGAGTCTAAAGCAAATGGCTTTTTCTTTCTTTCTTTCTTTTTTGAGCTGCAGAGGTCACAAAAGGAGATTTGGACCACACTATTGAAAAACACACCGTCCACGAAGCTGGAATACTTTTCTTGTGAAGAGCATTCATAAACTAATTTAAATTGGATAATTGCATATTATCATATAGTATTCGCTGATAAGATTTTATCTAATCTGGGAACGAGGGTCAAAGTTTCTTCTAGCTAGTGACTCAATCGAGCTGCAGTACTTGTTTAAAAAGAGGGCTCCTGCCAAACTGTTCTACAAGCCAAGTCTGGGAATACAGAATATTGTGTCTTGTCATTTTATAACCATTTTAACTATCACTTCTTTAATAAAGTTTAGACCATTTCCAGTTCATAATTGTACAGAACTTTCAAATCAATATTACGGTAGCTGATCTTCAGATGGAAAACATATCCAGAGTGTTCTATAGTGGACCAGACATGCTGAATCACCACAGAGCTATTTCCCACAGCCCAGATATGTATGGTGCTTCAGCCCCCATCAGTCTCCACCCCACTCTGCAAGGCCCAACATCAGCATACATAGCAGGAGTTCAGCCTGTGCACTGATTGCCAGTGGCTTCCTAGGGTGAGAAGGGGTGTGTCTTGGCAGGGAAAGGGTTCAAGACTCTTCCAATGAGTCACTAACTAGGAACATAGTAAAGATATTTGTAAAGATATTTCAGACAGCAGCTTTCTACACTAACATTTAAGTTTGTAGAATATCAACTCCTTCGGTACAACTGTAGCATTAGAGAACTTGACCTTAGATCCTAGTGGAAGTGTCTATAACAGCCTTCTACAACCTGCTGTCCTTCAGCTGATTTAAATGTACACTCAGCCCTCAGAAACCTGACACACACCTCGTTTATAGCCGCCCATGTGCACAAATTCTGCAGGACTCTGCCCCAACTTACAGCCCAGCCCTAACCATGTCTTCTCAGAAGTAACTCTTACTGAATTTAGTGGGGCTTATTTCTAGTTAACGTAGGTTAGGATTGCAGCCTTAGTTAAGGAAGAGCACCGATACATATTTCTATGCCAGTTCAAAAATTCCATATGTAGTTTTCCCTAAAAAAACAATAATTTCATAAGATATAAAATATTGGGAGATATAAACAAAATTGTACAGTAACTTGTATCTTCTAAATATAACTTTTCTCAAGAAGGATAGTTAACAGTCTAATTTAAAATCTATTCCTTCTCCTATTTTACAAAAATAACTTTTTCACAGAACTGAGTTATCCAGCTTATTCGATCAAGATTAAGCAGGCACAATTCACGCATATGTTGTTAACTAAATGAATTTAAGGAAAAGTTGTATATATACCATCAATCCATAGATCTCTGAGGAACTCCGCACTTTGGGAAGTATTTCCATAGGAATTCCAAAAAATCTGGGAAGGAAACACAACATTTTCCAAAAGTTAAATCAAAATTATTCATGGTTGTTAATTAAAAAGTTGAACTGGGGGTGGATGGAGAATATATGGGGCCCATAATGTTTGCCTCAAAACAAGAAATGTCCACTTAAATGCTTCTTCTGATTGGTTAAAACTGGAATCTGGTTTACCACTTTTCCCAAACTAAAACTTTGTGTGGCCAACAGAGGTCCCGCTTGAGCTTCTCCTTAGCTAATAAAGCTATCATTTGTTTAAAAATTGTTGCAAAGGTTTGCAAGCCCTCATGATGTGTAGATGTAAATACTTCATGCATAACTCTCTTTTTTACTTATTCTGGAGCTTGATTTGACCTGAGCTTATGTGTGCATCTCTCCCAGCTCCAATGATCAGCTTCCCCATCGCTACAGGTGCCTCAAGAACAGTTAACAAGCAGCCAGCAGCGACAATCTTATGTATACTACTAATAAACGACAATACTACTTTCACTTCTCAAAGGTTAAAACAGAATTATTTGCTAGCTGTGATGTAGAAAAATGCCATCAAATATTTCACAATTAAATCCAAATGTTCTCTCAGTTATGGAATGAACTGCTCCCATCAGGTTATCACAGAAAATCCATGAATGCATCTTTGGTTGAACCTAACCAATTGAAATTCCACACTCTCAAATTAAATTTTATTAAAGTGTGTCAAAATGAATTTTTAAAAGTGAGTCAGTGTGAAATGAATTTTTAAAAGTGAGTCTTGTATAATTTGAGGAAGAAGAGAACATCAATTTTACTCAGTGGAGAGGAACCTGTGGCCCTGAAAATGTTGTTGGACTCCAACTTCCACCAGCCCCAACCAGCAGTCAATGGCCAGGGATGATGGTAGATATAATCCAATAACATTTTGAGGCCTACCAGTTTAGAGTCTAGTGGTTAATTCAGATGAGATTTTATGCCCAATATTTTACAGCTATAGCATGATTTCTGCACAGAATTATGATGCATCTTGTGACCACCCACCATTTGCCAAGCTGGATTTGAACCTTTACCATAAGCAATAATGGCTGCAGAATCTATTGTGTACTAATCTTTCAAATATATACAGCTCCACGTGGATCCCCATTACAAAGCCAGAAGCAGATAAACTCGTTGCTATTAAGCAACAACTTGTTCTTTAGTTTCAGAACACAGACCATTTAGAAGTTTTTCACATGTGACCCTGGAAAAACAACTATTAGGACCAAGTGCCACTCAGCTAATAGAATTTATTTCCAAGTAAACCTGTTTAGAAACCTGTACATCAGTATGGCTTTTTGAAGATGGTCAAAGCAAATCTAGGCACTGAAGCAGACGGACAGACAAGTTACTTACTTGCAGAGTTCAGTATCCCATTCTAACGAATGAATGTTGAACAGCATTGTTCTACTGGCATTGGTTACATCAGTGCAATGAACACCTCCATTTTTTCCACCTGTCAAACTCTTAAATTAAAAAAAATAAAAATAAGCAAAGACAGATCAGTAAAACTAGAAGCTGGTCACTGCTTCCCTAGAAATGGAAGTTGGAAATCTGGCAGACCACTGCTCACTCTTACTATATTTAAAGAATTTGTTCAAGTATCCCCAATCTTTTCCTGCTCACAGGGCACATTCAAAAATAGTTATTATCACTGTAGAAAAAAACTGGTGATGCTTACCCTCCCCCCAAAAAACCCTCATTAAACTAAAATAAAATAGGGAGTGGCAGGGAGTACTGGTGGGCACCAAGGCTGCTTCTGAGGATGTCATGACCATTTGGGAACCCCAGTATTTGGCTTTAATAGGAACAGTTATCATAATATAGCACACATATGCAAGAATAATAGAGCAAGCCTTTCCTCAAAGGCAAATCTTTCTTCAAAGGCAAGAGCAAAAAGATCAAGGAATCATACACTTTATTGAGAACATCACAGAAAGGGGGCCTATATGACATTTGGAGTGAACAAACGCTCAGCGATTTCAGTTTTGCGTTTAGTACTACCTGCTATACATCACAGTCCAGGCTAAATTTCATTTTTATTACACAGTGATTGATCCCACCTGTCACATCTACTAATATTGGAAATATAAAAATCACTGACTATACCCTGGTTGAAGTTACTCCCCATCTGGGAGGGAAAAAACCATAGTTCACCAACTTGGTCTTTCCACCCAGCTTTACTTACAAACTCTCTAGCCAGAGAAAATGTTTTGAAAGCCCTTCAATATTATTTTAAGGAAAGCGATGTAGATAACACAGCTACCCCTTTTCTCTGTGACACAATGAAGGCGGTCATTAGAACTCCCATTTTTAATGGCTGCAATGCTTTGAAAACTCCTGTTTCTAGGACATGTACTGGAATTTTACTCTTATGCAAGATCTTAGAGGTTTAGGCACATGTTCACTCTCCATGTGTTCAATGAATGCATGAGAGAGAAGCAGGATCACACCCACTGTTCATTCCTCATTCCCTGGCATGGCTACAAATTCAGCATTAATGTGAAAGAGTATGATTCACATGATCAAGAAGCCTAATTGGCCAAAGTTCCCTTGTAAGCGCAGGAGCCATAAATACTTTAGTATCCTTTCATCCTTACATCAGACATGCATCTGCTAGATGTGTGTGGCTAGGCATGCACAATCCCACTGTATTCACTGAATGCATGGAAGGGTAGCAGCCATGATCCCTTGGATTATTCGTATCTGACACACACTATTTATATTTATTTTTATTCAATTTATATACCGCCCTTCACCAAAAGATCTCAGGGCAGTTCACAAAATAAAACATTAGCGCCATGATACTTCCTGAAACAAGCGAGGGGAAGGTGTGTACTTAAACCCTTTTGACCATAACTGATGTGTGCCCATTTTATTCAGGTGTATTACATTCTGCTGCAAATAATGTTGGAGGCAGATTATATAGGCACATGTATGATTCTGATGAGGTGGCAGTGAAAACTGATTTCCTGTTTAGAAAACGTTGAATGCTCTTTGATTAAAATTGAGAAAGTATAAAGCAAAAGAAGTTGATTGCTATATAGCCTATTGAGACATACCCATATTAGCCATGTGTCAATGGTACCAAACAGAGCTCGCCTCTCCTGAACCGCTTGCCTGACCTCCTTCACATTGTCCAAAAGCCAGCAAAGTTTCACAGCACTGAAATATGTGCTAAGTGGGAGGCCTGTCTTATTCTGCAAAAATGAAAGATTTTCAGAACATAAAGGAGAAACACCAGCAGTAAAAATGACAAAAGGTTCATCTGCAGCAAAAGCACAATAAAAGGGTCATTAGCATCAGTCACTCTCTAGTATTGTAAACCCTACGTGTACCAAAATCCAACATGATCAAAGATCAAGAGAACAGGTAGACTTGCCACGTAGCAAAACAGACAGAAACATATTCTAAAGGTCATGTTTTATACAGGTTATCTGTCTGTGTTTGGAAAGCAAATAATGATGGAGGCAATCAGAAAGAAAGAACTCCTGCATTATACAGTGGAAGCTTTCAGAGCAAATAGGTTAAGAGGCTGTTTTACTCATATGTTCCTAAATAATTTTATTTTGGCAATATCTAGGAAATATGCTAACGCTGAGGGGCAATTTCTGTGTAGCTTGGAATAGATGACAGTGAAGTCGTTAAATAACGTCTTGCATCATAATCTATTTCTATTAAAATTTGGGTTAGTTTCATATTCTTAGTAA